GTTTCAGGTTTTGCACGGAGAGACGTGCAGGGAGAAGGTACGCATGTGCTTGTACACGCGTGTGTGCACACATTGGCAGGCCCAGTCTGGCAGCGTGTGGCTCCTTGGCACGCCTGGAAGAAACAGGCGGAGGAGGTGGGCGGAGGAAGCCGGTGGCACAGATCGCACGGGGGGGAACAAGGCTGCGAGTGCGAGGACGCATTGCAAGGATGCAGCTCCCGTCCATTACGTCTGGGCGGCAGATGGTACTCCGGCTGCCAGCGAGTCTGCATGAGGTGCACGGAAGTGCTTGTCAAAGATGGTGTCTGTTCCTTTCCTTGTTTGATATGGCCAAACTTGGGCCCTCCAGGTGTTTGGACTCCAACTTCCACAATTCCTAACAGCCTACAGGCTGTTAGGAATTGTGGAAGTTGGAGTCCAAAACACCTGGAGGGCCCAAGTTTGCCCATTCATGCTTGAATCCAGGTGAGGCCTGATCAAAGCTTTGGCTGGTCCATGCGCCGACGATGCCAACGGAGAGCGTTCTTGGCGTGCGCCTGTTTCCTGCTGCCTGCCTTGTTCTGGGAACATGGAAGTGGCATCGCAACCTGACGCTTGGCGGCACAATCGGTCCTGGCAGCGAAGGAGCGGGCGATGCTCCCAGCTTGGCAGCTTCGCCAGCTCCCCAGATGGCACCTCGAAGCCTCGAAGCAAAGCAAGGGACAGTTTGGACTCATATGACACTGAAGTCGGAAGGGAAGGAAACAGCAACAAGGCACTAAAGGACACTCACTGCTCCCAAAAGAAGAAGAGGAAAGAGAAGGGCAATTTGGAGCACTGAGCGCCAAGAAGAACCCAGTCCGCTGTCCTTGGTGTTTAGATGGAACCACTTTTCACTCCTGCTTTCAAATATTTAAGCATTGCTCTCATGTCTTCTCTCTGCTTTCTCTTCTCCAAGGTAAACAATATCCAGATCCAGATTCTGAGGATGCTTGCCATAGATGCAGGAGAAACGTCAGGAGAGAATGCTTCTAGAACATGGCCAAAAAATCTACAACAACCCAGTGATTCCAGCCATGACAATACATCTCTACGGGGAGAAACTGTTCCAAGACATACAAAAATTGGAATCTGAGGATGCTTGCCATAGATGTGAAGCCGAGCTCCCCCCCTTCCCAAATAAGGGATAGTGACTTATAGTTCTGCAAAGAGCAAGGGCACCAGACTGCACAGTAAGGGTTAAGTCTTGGTCACATTGCCAAAGCACTAACAACAACAAGGACCCCATGAGACTTTTGGGGAACGGCTGGATCTTGGGACTTCTGCCCTTCATGAGAGTTGTAGTTTCCCAAGGACCAGCTTCGATCCCAGCGTGGCAGCTCTGCCTAATGTTTTGGACTCACAAGGACATCTTTCCTGCTCATGAACTTCCCTCAAAATGAACTTTGGACTCACATTGCTTGAAAATAATTTCTTTATTAAATTTCTCTGGTGGGTGGGATGGAGAAGTATACATTGAACAATACATTGAACATCTCTACAGGGAGAAACTGTTCCAAGACACACGAAAATTGGAATCTGAGGATGCTTGCCATAGATGCAGGTGAAACGTCAGGAGAGAATGCTTCTAGAACATGGCCATATAGCCCGAAAAACCTACAATAACCCAGTAATTCCAGCCATGAAAGCCTTCGACAATACATCTCTACGGGGAGAAACTGTTCCAAGACACACGAAAATTGTGAATCTGAGGATGCTTGTCATAGATGCAAGCGAAATGTCAGGAGAGAATGCTTCTAGAACATGGCCATATAGCCCGAAAAAACCTACAACAAAACAGTGATTCCAGCCATGAAAGCCTTCGACAATACATTGGACATCTCTACGGGGAGAAACTGTTCCAAGACACATGAAAATTAGAATCTGAGGATGCTTGTCATAGATGGAGGCGAAACGTCAGGAGAGAATGCTTCTAGAACATGGCCATATAGCCTGAAAAACATACAACAACTCAGTGATTCCAGCCATGAAAGCCTTTGACAATACATTGAACATCTTTATGGGGAGAAACTGTTCCAAGCCAAACAAAAATTGGAATCTGAGGATGCTTGCCATAGATGCAAGTGAAACGTCAGGAGAGAATGCTTCTAGAACATGGCTCTATAGCCCGAAAATCTACAACAATACAGTGATTCCAGTCGTGAAAGCCTTCGACAATACATTGAACGTCTCTACGGGGAGAAACTCTTCCAAGACACACAAATATTGGAACCTGAGGATGCCTGTCATAGATGCAGGCGAAATGTCAGGAGAGAATGCTTCTAGAACATGGCCATATATCCCGAAAAACCTACAACAACCCAGTGATTCCAGCCTTGAAAGCCTTCGACAATACATTGAACATCTCTACGGGGAGAAACTGTTCCAAGACACAGGAAAATTGGAATCTGAGGGTGCTTGCCATAGATGGAGGCGAAACGTCAAGAGAGAATGCTTCTAGAACATGGCCATATAGCTCAAAAACTCTACAACAACCCAATATCCAGATCTCTAAGCTTTGTCTCATAGGACTTGGGTTCCAAAGCTTTAAGGAGGGTGACTAAAATGATTAAGGGTCTGGAGAACAAGCCCTATGAGGAGTGGCTTAAAGAGTTGGGCATGTTTAGCCTGAAGAAGAGAAGGCTGAGGGAAGACATGATGGCCATGTATAAATATGTGAGAGGAAGTCATAGGGAGGAGGGAGCAAGCTTGTTTTCTGCTTCCCTGGAGACTAGGACGCGGAACAATGGCTTCAAACTACAAGAAAGGAAATTCCACTTGAACATTAGGAAAAACTTCCTGACTGTGAGAGCCGTTCAGCAGTGGAACTCTCTGCCCTGGAGTGTGTGGAGGCTCCTTCTTTGGAAGCTTTTAAACAGAGGGTGTGCTGCAATGTTCCAGTGGGATTCCTTCCCAGGTGATTCTCAGAGCTCGGGATGCTTGTCTGTTCTTAAGATGAAAGGCACATATCTGTGTTTTAGATGGGTTAGGGATCAGCTGGTTTTCCCTGTAATAGGCAGTAAGAGCACCTAGAGCTTCGGAGAGCTTCTGTTCTACCATCTCAAAGCTCCCTGCTTGAGCAATGATGGCACGATCATCAGCATAGATGAAACTCTCTGTCCCTTCTGGCAGTGGCTGGTCATTTGTGTAGATGTTGAACATGGATGGAGCAAGCACGCTCCCCTGAGGCAGGCCGTTCTTCTGTTTCCGCCATCTGCTTCTCTGGCCCTGGAACTCAACAAAAAAGCTCCTGTTTTGTAGCAGGTTTCCTATGAGGCGGGTGAGGTTGTCTTTGTGATATTATACATTTTTCTCAGGAGGAGGCGGTGGTTCGCAGTATCATAAGCTGCGGACAGGTCTATGAAGACAGCTCCTGTGATCTGCTGCCTTTCAAAGCCATCTTCTATGTGCTGAGTCAGGTTCAGCACTTGCGATGTGCAGCTTTTGCCTTTCCTGAAGCCAGCTTGCTGTGGGATCAGACAGGGGTCTATTTTTTCCATAATTCTATGCAAAATAAGTCTCTCCAGAACTTTGTAGAGGTGGCACAACAGGGAGATTGGTCTGTAGCTTTTGGGGTCATTACGGTCTTTGCCTCTTGCTTTCCTCCAGATGTTGGGGATCTGACTGGATGCAGTGCAGTTGTTCATCAGCTCCAGCAGCCAGTGCCTTGCTTTGGGACCAAAGTTCTTGATTTGTTCCATCCGTAGATCATCCAGGCCAGCTGCTTTGCCATTTTTACATTTATTGAGAGCCATATCCAATTCAGTAGATGTAAAGGGTTTATGAAGGTTGTTGTTCTCAATCTCTTGTTGTCTGGCTATTGGTTTCTTTCCTACTTTGGTGGCAAAGTTGGGTTTCATAGAATCATAGAATCAAAGAGTTGGAAGAGACCTTCTGGGCCATCCAGTCCAACCCCATTCTGCCAAGAAGCAGGAATATTGCATTCAAATCACCCCTGACAGATGGCCATCCAGCCTCTGTTTAAAAGCTTCCAAAGAAGGAGCCTCCACCACACTCCGGGGCAGAGAGTTCCACTGCTGAACGGCTCTCACAGTCAGGAAGTTCTTCCTAATGTTCAGATGGAATCTCCTCTCTTGTAGTTTGAAGCCATTGTTCCATTGCGTCCTAGTTTCCAAGGAAGCAGAAAACAAGCTTGCTCCCTCCTCCCTGTGGCTTCCTCTCACATATTTTTACATGGCTATCATATCCCCTCTCAGCCTTCTCTTCTTCAGGCTAAACATGCCCAGCTCCTTAAGCCGCTCCTCATAGGGCTTGTTCTCCAGACCCTTGATCATTTTAGTTTCCCATTCTTCAAGGGTTGGTGTGCTATCTGATCTGCCTTTATGTTGGCATGAGTATTAGTTTGTTAACAGATTAGGGCCCACCAATGACAATGATGATGTAGTGAGCAAACTCAGTAGGATTTGATCTTTGCTCACCGAGGGCCTGAGTGCAACTTATGCAGCCTTCCAGATGCAGTTGGACTGCAACTCCCATCAGCCCTAGCTGACACATCCTATTGTAAGGAAGGCATTGAAACAGCACAATTTTTCTGAAGGTGGAAGACTTTCCTTCCCTGATTGAGACCCAATGTTCCAGGATACATTTCAGGTGTGTTGTAAACATTTCCTCCTGCATGTCTTTCTTTGGTTTTGCTCAGCAGAGCAGGCTTCTGGGGTTCTGATCCATTAGCAACTCAATCCCTTTAGGAAAGAGATCCCTTCCAGCTGTGCACAACATTCCTGGTAAGTGGTTTTCCTCTAGGTCTGCAAAGCTTTCATGTCAAAGAAGGTGAAAGATGGCAGCTTGGACCTTAATAGTCCCCAGAAATGTCACTTCAAGGAAGAGGGCCAGCTTCTTATCTATGTGGCTCCAGAGATATGACATAAAGCAATGGATTCAAGTTGTAGGAAAAGAGATTCCAGATCAATATTAGGAAGAACCTTCTGATGGAAAGAGCTGTAAAATACTACAAACAATTCAAAAGCACCCCTGACAGATGGCCGTCCAGCCTCTGCTTCAAAGCCCCCAAAGAAGGAGCCTCCACCACACTCCGGGGCAGAGAGTTCCACTGCTGAACGGCTCTCACAGTCAGGAAGTTCTTCCTCTTGTTCAGATGGAATCTCCTCTCTTGTAGTTTGAAGCCATTGTTTCTGCGTCCTAGTCTCCAGGGAAGCAGAAAACAAGCTTGCTCCCTCCTCCCTGTGGCTTCCTCTCACATATTTATACATGGCTATCATATCTCCTCTCAGCCTTCTCTTCTTCAGGCTAAACATGCCCAGCTCCTTAAGGCGCTCCTCATAGGGCTTGTTCTCCAGACCCTTGATCATTTAGTCGCCCTCCTCTGAACACATTCCAGCTTGTCAATATCTCTCTTGAATTGTGGTGCCCAAAATTGGACAGATGGCCATCCAGCCTCTGTTTAAAAGCCCCCAAAGAAGCAGCCTCCACCACACTCAGCAGAGAGTTCCACTCCTGAACAGCTCTCACAGTCAGGAAGCTCTTCCTAATGTTCAGAGTTGGAAAAGACCAGGTGGGCCATCTAGTATGTGTGTGTGTGCGTGTATGGAATAATGTCCAGGGTGGAAGAAAGAACCGTTATCTGTTTGAAGAAAGCGTGAATGTTGCAATTAGCAAGCTTCCTAACCGGCTGTTAGGAATTGTGGGATTTGGAGTCCAAAACACCTGGAGGGCCCAAGTTGACCCATGCCTGCTCTGGAGCATCAGAACACAAGCCTTGCCAGTTCCTCCTCAATGTGACAGCCTTTCCAATATTCAAACAGGGCTCTGAAGGTCTCCTAA